TCATTGCTCCTTTTTCTTATCAAAAAGATAGAGATTGGCATATACTATAATGTTTTGTATGATTCATTGCTCCTTTTTCTTATCAAAAAGATAGATTGGCATATACTATAATGTTTTGAATGACTTTTCTTTTTTTTTGTATTGTATCATTACATGTTCCCTACATATTTCCTCTTGTGATTCCATTAAAAGAAATCATGCATAAAGTTACAAAATTACAAAGCGAGCAAAGCGGCTACCTAAACAATGTTTAGACACGAAACAGAATTTTACCGAGGCGATTACATTATCGACACAAAGTTTAGATACAGGTTTAAGCAGCAAAAATTTATTTTGTTCTGGTTTATTTATTGTTTCTAGCGACAAAGAAGCAATAATCATAAGATGTTTTTCTCTGAAAGTGTCGCACATTTACTTACAAACACAACACAAGAGCTACATGAAAGATCTGAGATTATACAAAACAGCACACAAACAATCTCTTTTTTTCTTTCTTTTTCTTGTTTAATTTCTCCACATTATTCTTCTGTTAGTATAAATTTTACATTACATTTTCCTGAGAAAACAAAAAAAAAGAAGAGAACTCTTACAATCTTGAATTTTTTCCATTCAAAAAAGAATGATTTGCAAAGAAATTAAAGTTTACGATGCGAATTTAACCTTGGCTCAGAGGATTTTTAAGCTTTGCCTCCTTCTGGTAATGTGATTAGACGAGAACTCGAGTCGTAAACCATCTCCGTTCCACAGCTAAACCAGAATCAAAATATTTCAAGAAAAGTTATTTGTGATTTGTGATCGATTCGAGTCTAAAGCTAAGGAGCTTACCCGGAGCATTTGACATTGTTGGTGGTACTGTCATTGGGGATGGATAGTATCGTTCCAAAAAATGATATATTCTCTGTTCCACAGTTTGGACAAGGACCCTATGAAAGATAGATTCCAAGAAAATCAAAAACTTTTTATAATAATCACATAAACTCGTAGGATTTGGCACTAAAATCAATCTAAATTTGTAGGATTTTGCACTTATCTTCAGTCTAATATTTTGTTTTTGCAGTCTCATATTGAGAAAACAAGATTTGGCTCTGTTACTTCTTTTTTTTGCAGTTCAAGAATTGATCAGAGAAGATATATTAATGGTTTTGGTACCTTCAAGATCAAGAAGTCCTTGATGATGAGTTTGGTAAGTGATAGTGCCAGATATACAATTGCAGGCACCGCAGCGAACCAAGTGAAAATGAAACTGAATGGTTCTGGAAGCTGCAGGAATTTTTTTTGAAATTGATTGCAAGAAAATGGAATAGTTTAGTTACAAGCACACTCTCCAAGCCATAAAACAGGAGTCTAAAGAAGTTTTTACCTCAAGCAGGTAAGTGATTTTGAAACCCGTAAGGTCATCAAGAAAGAAAAATCTGGTGAACAATTGAAGAAAACAGTAAAATCAATAAACAGAGAACGAACAAAATCTGACATTAAGTGACTTGAAAACTCGAGAGAGGAACAGAACCGGTACTTACAGTCCGAGAGCTACAACAGTTGCTGGTACATTCAATAAGAACATTTTGAAATAATCTATAGCAAGATCACTGTAAACCTGCAAAATCAAAGAGTTCAAATGTTTATAATAACTCTAGAGTTTTCCTAAACAATGAAACTTATGTTATGATAAGAGGCAACAAGAACATTACGTTATGTTACCTTTTTACTACGAAGACTGCATCTTGGACCCTCGCACACAATTTCACTACCGTCCATCTAAAGAAACAGAAATCAATCATAAATCTGGTATATAACAAGATGGATGATATTAAAAAAGATGGAAACCTTTAGTTTCATTTTCAGCTTATCATATTCTTCATCACTCAAGATTGGATTTCCAGACACATAAGCCATTGAAGCTTCAAGGAATCTCTGTTCATCAGAACCTGCAATACATGAAATAAAAGTCGATCAAAAACCAAGAATAAAGGCGTAAGAAAACCAAATTGGATTAAGAAAAATTTACAAATCAATAGATTCATTACTTAGCATCACAACACTGCTTCCTTCCCACATCAACTCTTCTTTAAGGTTATCAAACTCTTCGTTAGACATAATCGCTTTGCCTTCGTAATAGAATGACTGC